AGGAGTTTTCTCGACTCGTTAGCTTGAACTTTGTTGTGGCAATGTTACCTCGCTCTGATGATGTCCATCATATGACGGACGTAAACTTAGCACGTTTTCACCGGAATCGAAGGAGATTGCCTCGGAAGCAGCGTAAGCATGAATCTTCCAGTAAAGCCAATCAACAGCTGGTGAAGATGAATCGGCCGTCGTCTTCTGGTGGAACCGACCTTCGAATCTCTTCACCCAAGAGTTTCACACGAAGTGGAAGTAAGCTCAACAATTATGAAACAAGAGATTCCTCGAAACCCAACTTTTCTTCGTATATATCACGGATAGAATGACTATGCGAATACACGATAAGAAACTGAGGAACTTAGGAATTATAATTAGATCGAGAAATAATAATGATTATAACAAATTCGGTGAAAATAAGGTAATTTATTTATCCACTATAACTCTAGAGGATAGTGTGGAACTCTTATTGGAAAGAGGGACTTATTTTTGCTCCCCCAAATGCAGTAAACCGTTCTCTGGACCTATTTGTTGGAGTAATTAATTAATATGATAGAATGCCATTGAGTTTGAGGTGATTTCTCATTTTGACCAAATAATCATGTCAAAGCAATCTTGTGTTCTCGGTAGGGTTTCTTGGTATTTATGTTGCAATTATTTAATTGTTATAAAGCCCACAAAGGCCGAGTAGTGACATTCATGGATGGATCAAGCTATTTAGAAAAAAATGCTTGTTCATTAACATTCTACTGACACGTATAGGCCTTTGATGAGAGATTGAGTAGACCAGGTCGAAGGATTCCCTTAAGGTATACTGATGAAGAAATGGAAAATGAATTTACTACTCCACCGATATCCAAGGGCCCTCGCTGCTTACGGTTCTCTAAGGTTCATAATGAGGGTGTTCTTTGATTAATTGTAAATAATAAAGAAAGCGTAATGCATAAGATCTAACTTTTTTATGCATACAGCTAAGGAAAACTGCCAATTTTTGGCTACATTTAAAATACAAGTTTGAGTCGGATAGTCTTCTTGCCCTAGTGTTATAATGAGACTTTTACAGGAATGAGTTCCAGTTCTGATGATATTCATGGAATGATAGACGAAAGCTCAGCTCATTTTTACCTGAAGCGAGGGAGGACGTCTCGTGGACTGCTTGAACCTGAACTTCGTATCAAAACCAAACGTCTGCAGTGCTGCGGGAATCGGCCTTCGTCTTCTGGTTTGATCAACATACGAGTCTGTTCTTCATGCATTTTCATGCGAACAATGTTAGCTCATTAATTTCATCGAAGCCCAGTTATTTTCGTATCTACAGCCACTTTTCCCTATGCTGATATGGTTTGATTTTTCTCCGCGCTCTGTCCTGGTTTCAGCGTGAATTAAAAAGACTTACTGCATCTTCTTTCGTTGTTTTGCTGTGTAGTGCCGGTGAACTGAGCTAGAATATGCCTATCCATTCTCTTATGCTGAAAGAATACTTAATGTGCATATATTGAGTGCATTCTCCTATCGACTTGGAGATAAGCAGGTCATGAATCCAAGGGCTTGTTTCTTAGGTTGAGGCAGTCAATCCTTAGTAAATAAGCCTTTTGGAAGGCAACGCTAAGTGAAATCAATGATATCTGTGGGTATTCTACTCATTTCTTCACAGTAAATTTACTCATCTGTCATTGTATCACCTCAAATTCCTTGTAATGTATCGAGTTTTTATAAAAACTTATGTTAGTCCTGCTACGCTAGCGACCCAATAAGAGCCACACTGGCAAGTTCGTATAGCCTTATTTAGTAAAGGTCTGTGTAAATGTTCTTCGGTGATTTCATCTGCATACTCAATTTCCACCATATTGAATGGATTATATACATATATTCTTAAAATGTAATATATAATAATATAACTATTGATATCTGATGCTGACATATTCATTACTGCAAAGAATCCGTTTATTACAACATTTTTTTAATTTTTAATTTCTACTAAAGCGTATCCATCCAGTATAGTTTATGTAATTATAAAGACTTGGAAACTGGACAAAATTGAGGAAGATGAGGCTAACTTTCTCTTGAAAAAGCAACCTTTTTACTATGAGCAGATGCGAAATCTGGTTGCACAAGTTGCTTATGAGATTTATACTCACTTCTTTTCTCCTTGGTGCTACCCATCCCTGCTTGGCTCCAAAACGGTTTGTGGACACAATGTCTTGGGCACTTGGGCATATAGCGTTAGTCAGAAATAATGTAATTGTGACTTGTGTGGCAGAGATCTTCGAATTCAGTCGATGTTTTGCGAGTGACTCGGCACGTTGGATGAAATTTCGGCGCTTCTTGGTTCATCAAAATCGTTGGTGGGCATTGAACCCTGAAAATTCGGAATCACAATCACACTACCCTTGTACAATTAGCTTAAAGGGACATATCTTACTCAAAAGGTTGAAATCTCAAGGGACACCATTTTCGCCTTTGAACGCACACATCTTGTGCTGTACTCTCGCTCAGAGTGTGGGTGAAACACAGTCGAGGTTGAAACAAATGCCTAAACTGAGCTTCTTCTAGTTCTGCTTTAAGATGCGAGGTAGAGTCAATTAAGCAGATCAAGTGTTATTTTCAATTTCTTCTGGCTGCTAGTCCATTGAACTTAAAGGAACCTTTTGTTGTCAGGGCATATTGGATTGGGCTATTAGGCCAAAAGCCTATTTTATTCTTGCTTTGTTTTAATTATCTGAAGGTGTGACTCCACCGATGAACTTGATTGAATTCGGTCAGCTGTATCCCAACTCGACTCGTCGTTTTGACTCGAACATATATTCCGGCTCTTCTCCAAAGACGCTTCGTTACCTATTGTACGTATTTCTGTATTTGCTGAGTTTGCTCGTGTGACTTTAGATTCGTTGCTGACTTTGGTCCACTATGCTGGTGCGAAATAGGATTTTCTAACTAAACATTTCATGAATCTAAGTTATGAAGACCAAGATGGTGTGGCAATATGACCAACTTGCGAGAACATGGTAAAAGCCTAAACATTTCATTGTTTGAATTCATTACACATTCATTTCATTAACCTGTCACTTTTTCTTCCTTTAGTCTAGGTGGCGCCAGGAGCCGTTCTTTCAGATGCGGTTGCTTTCTCTTTTCCTGTATATGAATGTCACTCTCTTTGCTCGTGCCATCAATCCTCATTTTATCCAGTTCCCAGCATCCAACGCCCCTTGGCCTGTTCCAACCGTTTAGTTGGCCTCCTTCTAGAGGCCTTGAAACTTGAGGACAAGTATTTTCCCTCGACTGACAATGCTGTTAACCAAGCTTCATATTTACTTCTCTCTCCTGAGATGCCCAATCCTGTAGTGAATTCCCGGTCTCGCTCTCATTCAGGACCGAATTACCTCGATTTCGTCCACTTCCAGCTCGAGACTTTTGATACCTGTCTGCCCAGAAAGGGCCTTGGTGTTCGTTGCCGTCGTACCATTCAGAAGGGCGAATTGGTCACCATCTATCTTGGCGAGGTGGTACCACTGGCCGTCGCTCGGTGGCGCAACCGTAAGCAGCTAAGTCGCCTTGGACACACCTACGGTAAGCCATGGCATTAGTATTTTTTATCACTTCTACCATGTGAGATCGTGGATATGAACACCAAGGTGGTGTGAAATTCAAGGATATCTGTAGGATATCTACTCATTTTCTCTTAGTAAATTTATTCATCTGTCATTGCATCGCTTTATGGTGTTGCTTTGACATTGTTTCGCAACTTGGTCGGGGAAAAGGGTATGCACCAAATTAGCGGTTCGATGCTTAATATTATCATAAATACTGTCAAAGCATTCAGAGCTGGATACACTCCAGTAGGTCTCTCTCTCTCCTGCCGACCAAGTTGCGAAAACGAAATCAAACCACCACTGTCCTATCTTTACTTTAGAATAGACGAGACAGATATAGAATTAGCCAGGACGAAGGAGGGGTAAGCAATAGAATGAAATGAAAGCCTAAATCAGGCAGAAGAAGTCGGGAAGTTTCACTACTACTATTTCTATTATTCTGAATAGCGATACCAGTAGGATAGAGGCTAGACCAACGCAAGTCCAATGTATAATGAACAGAATTTATATTTAGAGTTAGAAAGCTATCTTCGTTATGAGCAATAGATCAAAGATATTAACAAGGGTAACTGATGCCTCTGTCGATGCCCAGATAGCACCTCTAATTGCGTTTCGATTGAAATAATTTGTAGGTTGGCTTAATTGGAATTAGGAGGAAGATTGCCTAGCAATTTTGACTGTGAGTTTTTGTACCGGTACAGTCCTCGGTGCACTGTCCATGCTAGGCTTTCTTCTGTCTTGTGGTAGCAGACATCGTCAAAGCGTGAAACCATTCTCTAGGAGAGTGGGTTGACCTCGTTTTCGCAACTTGGTCTTATCATCAGGGGAAAAGTTGAACGCACCCTTTTCGAAGTTCTCTATCAGTAATTATCATAACTCCCAGCATCAGACCGTGTACTTAGTACATTATTCGTCAAAAAAAAGTTAAATCAATCTCTCGACCAACTTTCTGCCGAAACGGTTTCGCTACTACTCTTCTTTATGTCCTGGCCCATCTATCTACTGTTTACCCTCTTGTCCGACTCCCGCCTTATCACAACTTCTGATTTGCCTACATTCCACTCGTAAAAAGATG